TAGGCCTATATCGTATACGGTACATTGTATTACCATTGGATTCATGGTTCGAGTGGTGCTAGTACTTTTCAGATCAGGCAGCACACATACCACCACGTAGAATCGTTGCCTTGTTTAAAAAGATATTGGTCAATTTATTGGTAATGTTTCATCACATCAAAAATAATTATAAAAGGGAAGAGTCCGAAAACCACGGTGTGTTTGTACTGGTGTGCTTAGCGGGGTTTTGATCAATATTCCTTTGATATGATCTACACAACAAAGGAACTCCTAACACGTTTAGATGATGGGACAGGGAGTAATCGACGAATTATCAATAATTATGTCGATCTATGATATACCAATACAAACCTGAACAGCACTTGATCTGAACGGCGTAAATTGTAATTGTAGATGTAATAAACTTAAATGTTTGATAATTATCAATATGAATAAACCCGTTGTAAGAAGGAGGACTCCGAAAATCAGTGTGTTTTTTTTTTTGGTTCGGCTGCAGGCAATACCGGTAACACTTAACATTGTGAAGTGCAGTGATTAGCGAAGTTTTGATCGATATTCCTTTGAAATAATTCACAACAAAAATAGGCATTCAGATGATTGGACAGGGAGTAATCAGGGAATTATCAATAATCAAGGTCGGACTATGCAGGCCCGTACGCGGGGGGGGGGGGGGGGGGGTGCGGGGGTGCCAATGTCAGCACTCCTCTTTAATTCACCAAACACATTATTTCTTTTATGTTTAAATTTAACATTTTTTTATCTGTGTTTGCTATTTCTGTAGTCATTACAGTTTTTATAGTAGGCCTATATGTTGACACATACAGTGAATAATCCGAAACACCACGTGGCTGAAAATACCACATCTGTAGGCTTTGTCCAATATGGATTTTAATCGACCTCGATTTTATTTACGAATTCAGTCACATTAGGCCTTAATTACTGTTAATGTAGTAATTTTCGCAGCCTGCAATACATTGGAGAAAAACACTGAAATGTGTTCTCTCAAAACCGTACTGTTCATATTCAGTGACGGATTCAATTGGAAAGCCGGGTCAGCCCCCACCCCCCCCCCCAGAAAAAAAATTGGGGGAAAAAAGAAAATTATATTCAAATTTAAATCTGAGAGCGCCACTCCCGGCCATCTAAAGATGCCATAATCATAAATTTTCTTTGGTGGTCCCCGGCCTCAATTTTAAATTCCTGGAACCACCACTGATATTGCATCTTCATGATCGATTAGTAAGACCGCAAATTATCAAAAACGTCTGACCCGGAACTCAGCAGCAGGAGTCCGCCTCTGGTTGAACCCAAGCCCACCGCTATTTTGGTCCACTCTCTACAAATTCGCACCCACCAAAGGCGTACGGGCTTGCTTTAGGATAAACCGATTCGAACATAACAAAAACCTAAATATGGCACTTGATCTCTGAACGGCGTCAATTGTAATCATGTGCTAAACAATGTGTAATTGATTTAATATGCATATACCTGTTGTATAAAAAGGGACGAGTCCGAAAAACTAAACTAATTCCTCCATGGAAAAGCAGTGTTTTGGTGTGTTTAGGCTGCTGACAATAACAATTACATTGTGAAG